TATTGTGATTGACATTGCATTTAAATTTTTAAACATTCTATGTAACTCAATAACCACTTGTACCTTAGTGACGTTATTGCCTTGCTTGTTGTTTATATATATATATATATATATATATATATAGTGTAACCCGGATATAAGAGAGTTGTCGGGACCGGAGAAGAAGTCTCTTATATCCGGGTTTCTCTTATATCCGGGTTTGGTCTATTTTATATACATTAACACAGGCTCTAATTTGGGACCAGAGAAAATCTCTCTTATATCCGGGTCTCTTATATCCGGGTTACACTGTATATATGTATATATAGATATATATTCATACAGATATACATACATACATATATATTCACACACACACACACACACACACACACACACACACACACCAACACATATATATAAACAACACACACATGCTTTATTTTTCTCACCATAATTTTCTATTATTTTCCTATCTCAAATATTGTAACATTTTCCTACCTCATTGTTTTGTTCTTGGATATTTGTTTTCAATTTTTTTAAAGTCACCACAACATTTCTGGGTAGCAGATTTGATATGGTAGTAATTTATATACTATATACTTATATATATATATATATATATATATATATATATATATATATATATATATATATATATATATATATATATATATAAAGGCTATTATATATTATATATATATATATATAAGGCTACTAAAGGTTTTTTCTATACTCACACAAGGCTTTACTCGCCCACAACCACTCATTTGCTCGTTTTTCTGAAAATCTGTTCTGAATGGTAAACAAAAAATGTAATAAAACTATGAGATAATTTAATTAGAAAACCTTTGAGTTATATCTAGGGCATTATTGGCTTAAAAAATTTTTTCTGATGAATAATGAATTTTTACAAGAATTTTACATTTTTTTAAAAAGTTTCATTTTAATAATTTACCATAATTTAAAAAATGTTTTAAAAATTCCCTACACTATATTTCTTTTAAGTGATATTGTAATTAAGTAGAAACTATATTCACAAATCAAAAATTAAAAAGTTTAATATAAGTCGTTTTGCAGTAATATTTTTTAAATAATTAAATTTTTTTTTACTTCAAGCATTCTCATTTTTCATCTATGGTAGTCTATACGTAGCATTATTATGAAAAGGTCATGTGTTCTAGGAGTTATCCTCTTGACTCCAATTCATTATTCATTGATGCTCCAACAGGTTTTGAACATCATCTCTTCCATTATAAAACTTTAAAATTTAAAGCAAGTTTTACTGTTTTTAATTTTTATTTCATGAAATATTTTTATTTAATGTATTTATTTTAGTGTGGTCATAAATTATTGAGTTATCTCTATCATGGTATTTCATCACAGTTATTAAATTTTAAAATTAATTAAGAAAATTTTATAGCATTTTAAATTTTTTTTTTCATAAAGCATCTTCAAACATGATTAAAAGTCAATAAAATATTAGATAATTGCTGAAAATATATTTATTTGTAAAAATTACTAGGTAGTTCAAAACCCCCAAAAAAGTGTTCACTTAGATTTTGTAAATTTATGTCAATTCTGGTCATCCATACTACTGTCAACACCTCTGAGCTTATTGATAACGTCAATAAAAACATGAGAAAAACAAGACCTGTCATTAAGAAATGCTTGCATACTATTTTTTTATGCTAAAAGTAAGTAATATTTGTCTCAAATCAGATTAATTAAACTTTAAATTTGATAATTTTACTCAACGTGTCATAAATATATATTTTATTTTTGGAAGATTTTTAAAATTGATAATTAAATTTTATTTTAAAACTTGTTAACATGTAAGAAATGACTACCAGTAAACAGATTTTTTGAAATTGAGCAAATATTTGACATTCCAATTTATATAATTTCTATTTGAAATATATCAGAGTATTTTATCTACTGGAAATAGTCAATTTAATCCGTTAACTTCCAAGTAAAACTAAAAAGAAATATTCAAGAATGCATTTTCATTTTTAAAAATTCATTTTAAACTTTAGGTATAGAAAATTTATATTGAATTAGTGGAGGTACCTATTATCCATCCTATAGGCCTTTAAGATTTCTTGAATGCTCAAACCTATACACACTGTTTAAAATAACATGTCTATTTCACATATAATTATCTATTATAACAACTTTTGTAGCAATATATATATATATGTGTGTTTGTATGTGTGTGTGTATAAATATAATAAGTATATATGTGTGTGTGTATATATATATATATATATATATATATATATATATATATATATATATATATATATATATATACTCGTTTCATTAAACACAACAGACAATGTACTGCGATTAAGCTTTTTATTTAATCTTTATAGTGTCTGAACACATTGTGGCCATGTTCGTAGTTAATATTATTGAGTGTTGGCTTTTTCTTTTTTATTATTAAGGCTTCCAATATTTTTAATCCTTTTTTTACATGTGGATGAGGTTATGTACTGTGTTCGGAATATAAAACATCCCTATAACTATAGAAACATACACATAACCAATAAACCCAATTAAAAAGCAAAAATAAAATCATCCTTGATAATGGCTAAAACTATAGCAGAAAACACTCGGAATTACAGAACACTTGATCACTTTCTACAGACTCTGTATCCAGAAAAGAAAATACTTGTTCGATAACAAGAAAAATTAAATAAAAAGCTTAATCGCAGTAGCTTTCTGTTGTCTTTAATGAAACATGTATAAATGAAGGATTGCTGCCTAAATACACAATATATATATATATATATATATATATATATATATATATATATATATGGTGACAGCTCATTTTTGTTTTTTTTATCATTTCACCCCAAGCAAGGCAATAAAGCCAATAAGATACAAGTACTTACTGAATGTGAAAGAATAAGAAAAAAGAGAAACATTATTACAGAATGAGAACAATAAAAGAAGAGGTATCAAGAAGACAGAAGATAATGATTGACATTGCATTTAAACTTTTGAAGATCAAAGTTGACTGGAAAGTAAGAAGCCAGAAGAGAGTTCCAGAGGCAAGAATTGCAAGAAAAGACACTGTTAGCAAAGATCTTCCTGTTACATCTTAGCCAATTCAACTGTAAAATTATGAAACCTTTGTAGGAAAAAAAACAAACTTCACTATACTTCAACACTCTGGACAATATACCATCAGCACAACTTTCACCAACAATCATTCTACCTCCCCTCTTGTCTTGTGGGATATTTATTGTATTAGTCTGCCACTGATTAGCCAAAGAATCAGTCAATCTGTGCATTACATTAAACTACTAGTGTTTGGTCAAAGAACCGGTAAATTGGTGCAGGTGACCTGTTTTAAAAACAAGACACTTTAACTTCCTTTTTTTTCATTATTTTCTCTTCACATGAAGTACAACCTGTTAAATGATCTTTGTTTCTGACTGTTGCAAAAAAGCGTGCAACCCTGGGCTTGTTATACCTCTGCAATTGTTGATTACAACCTTGCTGCCAGTCTAGTATTGCACATAAATTCATAAAGTTGAGGTATATAGTGGAAAATTAATCAGAACAATTACTATGAAAGTATTTAAAGAAAAAGCACAAAGAGGCTTTGTTATGGCCCCACCAATACCTCGACTTTGTTGCTCTTAAATCATTTTGCCATACCTTAGGAAGTAGGCTTGGACTCGTTCTTCATTTGAAAGACCCATTGATAACCTAACTTTAACTTTCTTGTTGATGATGTCACTTGATGTTTCAGTAGATTCTCAGAAGTTTCCTTCCTCATGATGTCATATATTTTGTAAAGTCCGTCTTGCAGCAAAGCACTTCTAAAACATAAATACTATCAGCCCAATGCATCATAGTTGGGATGGCGTTCTTCAGTCTGCCAGCATATCCCTTTTTCCTCTAAATATAATGATGGTCATTATGGCCAAACTGTTCAATATTTGTTCCATTGACCAGAGAATATTTCTTTGAAAAGCAAGATCTTTGTCTCCATATGCCATCAGGAACCACAGTCTGCCTTTTTGTTGCAGTTTTGTGGTAGTAGCTACTTTCTTGCTTAGCAGATTTTCAGGTTCTGTCTATGTAATAATTATTTTTACAGTGCATCTAGATACTTTTGTACCCATTTCCTCTAGCATCTTCACAAGGTCCTTTGATGCTCTTATTAGATTGATTTACACTTTTTGTACCAAAGTTCATCCATCTCTTTTGAGTTCTAATGGTATTTCCTTTCTGAATAGTATTATAGCTATACTTGTGCAATACTGTTAGTACCATCTGGTATTTGGAAATTATTCCCAAGAATGAATTTGATGTGCGGAGGTTCATAATTGTCTTTCTGAGATTTTTTTCTCTGTGATGTCAAGCAAAGTGGCACTGAGTTTAAAGGTAGGTCTTGAAATACATCTGCTAATAAACCTCCAATTGATTCACACAATGCCAGTTACCCTATCTGAAGCTTCTACAGCAAAAACTAGTATCAGGAACATCATCCATTTCTGGACCCTCATATAGAGGTTCCATATTGTTGCATACATAGCAGACATCCAGAGTCATGAAGCTCTCAGGCTCCCTGTAAGCAACCAAATCACTGCATATTCTCAAAACAGGCAAACCTGTGAGCATTGGTAAAAGACATGCTCAGCCATCTTTTCTGGATCACCAAATGTCTCACAAAAGTTTTGTCCTTGTGTGCAGTTGCACACTGTAATGTGGCAGCTTTTTTTTTTTTAAATAACAGTTTAGGAGTAGCTACTTTCTTGCTTAGCAGCTTTTCAGGTTCTGTCAATGTAATAATTATTTTTACAGTGCATCTAGATACTTTTGTACCGATTTCCTCTAGCATCTTCACAAGGTCCTTTGATGCTCTTATTAGATTGATTTACACTTTTTGTACCAAAGTTCATCCATCTCTTGGAGTTCTAATGGTATTTCCTTTCTGAATAGTATTATAGCTGTACTTGTGCACTTCTGTTTGTACAGATAAACATAGGCATTTGGAAGCTTACAGCCATATCACACTGAAACACCAGTTCTCATTTGACCACCAAATCTAAGCAACATTGTCCATAGTCAGTACTTAAGTGGGTGACCACTTGGGAATACTAGATGCTGTAAATTTGGATGTGCAGGTGGTATAATGGATAATGTCTGGGTATTATTAATCAGAGAGCTGAGTTCAAATTCCAGTTGGGTTTGTTATATTCATTTACATGCATGAAAAGTATGAATCTCCCCCAGGTAAGACTTGTTTCACTAAAAATCATTATTATCTCCTCCCCAAAAATATTTTCTGGTTTTAAATTAGCTCCAAAGGGTTGATAAGCCATAGACAATGAATTCATCAATCAAAGTACATTTCCTCCTGTTTCACTCTACAATCTACATCAAAACGTGTTGGTTGGATGTAAATGCTAAAGAATCAAGGTGGTGTAATGGATAATGGCTTGGAAATCAGAGATGTGAGTTCCAATTCCAGTTGAGTTGGCCCAGTGAATAAAAGTGTTGGTTGAGTGATCCAAAAAGTGACTTGATCACGGTGTTCTGTTTTAGACGACCAAGTCATTATGTAGGGAAGGAACAATACTGGAGGCCAATCAGAGCAGCAGTGCATTTTAGTTTCAGTTTGAGATAGCTATTATGCCAGTGTTGTTGGCTTAAGTAATTCAAAGAAATGTTTACTTACATTTGGAATAACATTTACTTATTTAATTGAAGTAAGTATTTATTTTGAGTTGTTATATTATTTTTTTATGAGTAATTTGAGATTTTTAAACATTAAACTATTTTAGTTTCCAGTTTAAAAAATCTAATTTAAAATGTAAAATAAAAGCAAATGTAATATTTTTGTATTAAATGAATGAAAAAAACATTTAAGAATGGTTTCACACTAATTTAATGACATATAATTGTTGTAGCATACCTACAGATGATAATAGGTATGTCCCCATTCCCATAAATACAGTAGTGAATAATGTATGTGTTGGTCTGCAGTCTGCAGTTGGAGATTCATTGCGGAATTTACTTGACTCACATCTAGCAGTTGACTACTTCTTCTACGTGCAGCTGGTGAATCTTATATGTGCTGTTCGTGTCCTAAGTATTATCATTAATTACCAATCTTCATGTTATTATTCTATTCAGTAACCTTCCTGAGGTTACAACAATAATTATAATTAAATTATAAATATTTAACTCAGTATTTATTTTTGATATTGTAAAAATGTTGTGAGTATGAACGAAATTAATCTTGCTGCTCATTTTTCCAGTAAGGAAGAGATGTGTATTGTTTGCCTACTAAATGGACCAATGTAGCAGTAATTGAACTGTGATTAGTGATTTTTCTTTTTCAGGTACTATGTGTTACAAAAAAAACCTATCTGCCAAGTCAGAGAACATCATGTGTTGCATATATATGTTGTGGTATTTGAAATTTGTGATTTTGCACTTTCATAGGGTCTAATTACAAATTCTGTAGCTGTGTAAATGCTTTTTGCTATAAGTTTTTAGTGTCCATCATGTGTGGTAGGGAAGGAAGAGAAGTTAGTCAATGTTTTTCTTCGTTTGAAAATGGTGTGTAAATGTAAGGGTGTTCCAATAACTTGGACTGATTTTAAATGTGAATTAAGTTTAAGTGCCTAATAGCTTTTTTCCTTTTCTTTCAGATTTGGTGGACATTTGGGCAATCTTATTTTTCACACATAATTGCCACGACTTAAATAACATGATCCAGTAGAGAAATAAATAAATTTTCATCAATAACACTGATTTATTTACTGCTAACTTTGATCCGTCTTAATGAAACACCCTTTATATTTGAGTCTGTACATATATAGTATTGTATTTCTTGTTATCAGGAGAAAAATAATTATTATGGTGGATGTCACTAAAATGAAATGTCCACAAGAAACATGGCAGATTCGGGATGTGAGTCTACATAAATAAATGTAAGAAACAACAAGAACCAATATATATGTACTAACAAATGATAATATAATGATGATTAACAATAAAGGGTTACAAGTGACAAAGACAAAGATGTGTGTGTCAAATGAATGTGAAAACGTTTTGGGTGCAAAGTATGTGTAGTGAGTGAATGTGCATACGTACGTGTGTGCGTGTATATATATGTATTGTTCATGCATTTTCCAAAGGGAATGCATTCTCTGTCAGAGGTTACATGTTGACAAATAAGTGGATAAGGTGAGAAGAGGATGATAAAAAATTATCACAGAGTATTTATAGTCCTGAGAGCATCTCCTAGGAGCAGTTTCAAAAATTAAGAGGAGATAAACTGACAAGTTAATGTCTAGTTTATTTTAACAGATATACGTATTTTTGAAGACATTTTCTACACTTATTTTTAAATTTTATAATTTGGAATTTATTAAAAATAAATTACCATTATTATTGTTCAAATGTTTTTTTACTAATATTGTTGTTATTCATAATGAACAAATGCATTCATAGAATTATTTTTTTTTATTAGTTGTGTTTTTAGGTAAAATAAACAACAAAAATAATTAATCTTTTTTAGTTTTGTAGAATTTTAATTCTACATCATGTAGAAATAGCTGAAAATAACTTGTCTAATTTTGTGCAAAAAGCGGATCACAGAGCCTTGATATTTTTTTGACTCCTGATTAGACAATTAATGCTAATACCATGTTTTCCACTATGTCCAATTTGTATCAACCTAGTTTCTGACCTGAAAGAAAATACAATTCTGCCCAAAACCTATCTATGTGTTTCAAGCATATCACGTGATATCCAACAATATAAATACAAAGTGACATCTTCAACTCTTTCTCTTTTTTACCTTCTCTCACATAAGATGTAACGTTAGAGAGATTACATTTGTCCCTTAAGGAAAAACACTTTGAAACACATATACATACATACGCGTATGCACTCACACATATGTACTCACATCTATGAAATCTATACAGTCTTTCAACTACAAGCAACAGAAACTTATTCAACTTCTAACAAAGAGATTTTCTTCAATAAATCTACAACTTCTTATCTTTGAACATTTCTTTCATTGAGTCTGAACTTTATTTCATGAACTGAAATCTTTTCTGTGAGTCCAGATAAAAATATCTTCTCTTAAAAGGCTTTAAGAATTTCAAGTTAAAGGTAAATAACTCCTGCTATTAATTACAACTCTTACTATATAAAAATCACACACTTGATTGTTTTGTATGTCATACAGTAAAATGAAAATTATTTGTTATTATAAAAAAAAAAAACAGTTTTTGTGTTGCTTTCTCTTGTTTGCTTATTGTTTACTAGTACATTTGTAAAGTAAAAAATGTACAGATTGAATTGAGGCTGTTCAATACCGCTACAGTTTAATTTTTTAAATTTTCCATTAAAGTATAAAATACAACCAAATGTCATATTCTTATTACAAAAAAATTAATGAAAAAGCCATTTAAGAATGTTTTTATATAAATTTGATGTCATATAAAAAATTTAAGATTATTTAATCTGATATTCTATAATCACAGTGAACAAAATATTAACCATGCTGTTGCTCAGTCATTTTTTCAGGTTCTTCTATAAAGTATTTATTTATTTACTCAAGTTGAGCACGAAACTGATTTTTGACACAAAGAGGCTGAGATCAAAGTGCACTGTGGTGGACTGTCCCATCACAAGACATTGTCTGAAAAATAGCCAAAACCTTTTCCTCTCGGGCACTGGGGAAAATCCCCAGTCCTCCCTTTAAATAGAGGGGGAGGTGTTGCTTGGAGGAGTAGCACTCTGGGAAAGATCCAGGAAATAGATTATCTTATGTTGACAAGTGCCAGAAATTTAGATACTTAATTAACTCAATAATTAATTAAAAGATTATGTAATATTTTGCAAACTTTTGTTAACAATATACCTCAAAACCAATATACCAAAAAAAAAAAAAAAAAAAGAAACAATTTAAAAAGTGGATTCTCAGGTTTAAGCCAAGCCTCTAAAATTTCTGTTTTTAACTTATTAGTATGAGAGGGAAGTCAAAGTTGAAATTAAGAGTATAAATTGGCTTGAAAATTTACCCCTAAATTGAAACAGTAAAAAAAATAATTGTGCTTAAGAGGCTTAATTATTTCAGATATCACTTAATTTCCAGCAATGGCCCAAAAGTGTTGTGTCATTACTTGCAAAACAAATTACAGAAGCCAGCAAGACAAAACTGTGTGTGAGGAAGAAAATATCAGTTTATCATTTTCCAAAAGACAAAGACAAAGATGAGAGAGAGAGCAATGGAGAAAATCAGTTCCAAATGCCAATCTGAATGTTACAAACAATACAATTTGTCAACTACATTGGCCTTCAAATTTTGATGCCATAGAAGTTCATGGAAAAATGCACCCCCAAAATCCACCAGCTGTAGGGCCAAGTGTGCCAAAGAGTCAAACACCAACACCCTCTGCTATTCAAAGGGATATGAAAAGAAAATCCTCTAGTAATGCTTAAAATCAAATTGATGAAATGAATGCTTTTTAGAATTAGATAAAATTAGTTATACAAATTTGAAAGAAAGTCTAATCAACAACAAAAAAGACTTTGCGTATCCAGCTGGAGTATTTTTGGCTGAAAATATTTTAACTGTTCAGTCATCAAAAGTTATCCCTCTCTTTATGTTGAGAATTTATAAAAAATTGTGGTTTGAAACCTTTCATTATGGAGTTAAGTGTTATGTTAGTAGCCTATCCCAAAACATAAATACAGTTGATACTTAGTCAACATAGGAAGAAATTATTCAATCTTTAAATTCTATGGCTTTTGATCACAAAAAGGATATCTTGAGTCAGCATTTTTCAACAATGTCCCCCAAAATCGTTGGAATGAAATACAGCTCAGATATAGTAATACGTGCTTTTGAGTACTATACAACATCACAGTCATTGTATAATAGATGAAGACAGGATTTTCAATTACCATCATTAGCAACATTAAGAAGGATGACATCAAAAGTTTCAAAACAATGAAAAATCTTTTTTGTTATCTTTATTTAATACTCTTAATGCCAGTCAAAAAGGGTGCATAATTCTCCATGATGAAGTATATTTTGTTACTATATCATTGCAAACAACTATTTGGTAAGTCAGTTGACAAT